CATGCCTCTTGGACTTCAGGGGGCTCCTGCAGTGTTTTTGCAGCTCATCAATGAGGTGCTCCACCCACACCTTTACCGGGGGGTCCTCGTGTACCTGAGTGACATCCTTATCTTCAGCGAAACTATGGAAGAACATGTTCAATTGGTCCGACAAGTTCTAGAAAAACTTCTGGACGCCAAATTATATGTGAAACTCTCAAAATGTGAATTCCACAAAGAGTCACTGCACTATTTAGGCTACCAAATATCCAACCTGGGGATTGAAATGGACCCTGGAAAGGTGAAAGCGGTGCTGGACTGGCAACCCCCCAGAACCCGAAAACAACTTTAAAGTTTCTTGGGGTTTGCCAACTTCTATAGACAATTCATTCCATCCTTTGATGAAGTTGCCCTCCCGTTGACAGAGCTATTAAAAATGGGCCCGTCACCCACCAAACCAAAGCCGAGTCAACCCCTGGCTTGGACTATGGACTGTCAGAAAGTTTTTGAGACCTTAAAACGCTTCTTCGCAGCTGAGCCCATCCTCCAGCACCCAGACACGACCAAGCCTTTTATTGTCCAAATGGATGCAAGTGATGTATCAGTGGCAGCCATTTTGCTGCAAAAAGACTTTCAAAGCCAACTGATGCCTTGAGCTTATGTGTCCAAAAAGCTGATAGACACAGAGCGAATGTGGGTGGTCTGGGAGAAAGAAGCATTCGCCGTACGATGGGCTTTATTGACTTGGAGGCATTTTCTAGAAGGGGTGCCAGAGGCCTTTGAGGTATGGACTGTTCATAAGAACCTCGAGGTTCTAAAGACCCCTAGGAGATTATCACCCAAACAAGTCCGCTGGGCCCAATATTTCAAGCGATTCAACTTCAACATTAAATATATCCCCAGAGGGAAAAACGTACTGGCGGATGCTCTGTCCAGAAAACCTCAGTTTGACAGCTACCGAGAGGAAATAGTAAAAGCCTTAATTTCAGACGCTCAATCGGCAGGCCAAGTGACCACTCAAACCCAAGCCAACTGCAACCCCAAGCTCCTGGAAGATAAGCTGACTGCGGAATTGAAAACGGCCCTATTGACCAATCCTTGGTTCCTGGACCATCAAACCGAGTTGACAGTGAATGATGAATTAGCTTGGAAAGGGACTAAGCTTTATGTAACCACAACCCTAAGTCTACTGGTACTAAAGCGTAGCCACAACTCCCGGCTGGGAGGCCACTTCGGATTCCTAACAACCCTACATTTACTGAGAAGACAGTTCTGGAGGCCAAAAATGAAACCTGATGTTGAGGACTATATAAAAAGTTGCTCAATTTGTGCCACAATGAAACACAGAACTGGAAAAACCCCTGGCCTCCTGCAACAAGTCGTTGAACCAACCCAACCTTGGGAATAAACCACAATGGACTTTATTGTTGAATTACCTAAGAGTGAAGGGAATACGGTCATTTGGACTATAATTGACTTATTCTCTAAATAGGTCCATTTTATAGCCTGCAAAGGACTTCTATCTGTGAAAAAACTTGCAAAGCTGTTCATGAAACATATCTATAGACTACATGGAGTACCTTGTAGAGTAATATCAGACAGAGGGATACAATTTACCGCAAAATTTTGGAGGGAATTTCTGAAATCCATTGGTTTCTCTCAAGGGTTATCCTCAGCTTTCCATCCTGCTTGTAATGGAGCAGCGGTGAGGACTAACGCCATGACTGAACAATACATTAGATGCTATGTAAATTCTCAACAAGAAAATTGGGCTGAGTTATTCAGAGGTTGCTTACAATAATGCAGTACATAGCAGCACGGGATTGACTCCATTCCAAATCAACACTGGAATGGATTTTGTCCCAATGCCAGAGTTACCTAGACAACCTCCCTCATCCATGACCCTAACAGAATGGATGAACTCATTAAAGAAAGGGTGGGAAGATACAGAAAAAGCTTTGACCGAAGCTGCAAAAATTTATAAAAAACAGGTGGATAAACATAGATCCCTTCAACCGCCTTTTAAAGTAGGGGACAAAGTATATTTGTCCACCAAGTATCTTAGGTTGAAACTGCCCAGTAAGAAGCTGGGTCCAAAATTCTTGGGTCCGTTCCCAATTTCAAAGATAATCAATCCGGTCACTGTCCAATTTCGTCTTCCTCAACTATTGGGGAAAATTCATCCAGTATTCCATTGTAGTTTACTAAAACCAGCTACTACATCAATGACAAGACTACCGCCAATCGCTTCCCCTAAACTGTTAATGGTACAGGGGAAAACACATTGTGAGATTCAAAAATTTCTCGATTCTAGATTACACCATGGCTGATTGCAATATTTGATCTTATGGAAAGAATACCCCCTATCAGATGCCAGTTGGGTAAAGAGTTGGAATGTTCATGCTGATCAATTGGTTAACCAATTCCATGAGGATTTTCCCCACAAACAGAAAGGTCCTCATCGAGGGGGGAGAGGGAGTTAAGGACAATGTATTAACCCCTGTATGTGTTATTTTTTCTTTTAGAAGGAGGAGTTTTCAAGGGGGAACGCCTGTCACCTTTGAAATTCAGCTGCCACATTTTTTTTAAGGGAGTTGGAGGAGTTGAAAAGTTCAAGGTTCTTCTGTATGTCGTATTAAGGAACTCCAGTTGCAGTTAATTGGTTCTTGGGATTTATGAAGTGTAGAAGTGGGAGGAGAGAAAGGAGGAGAGAAGGTGGACTCTGTGTAATGCGCAAAATTTTTTCACTTTGGGAAATTGCTTTAGACATACCAGGTCTGTTTCAAAATAAATCAATTGGAGAGAAAATGTCTCGGAGTGATTGATATCATGGATACTTTCTGGATGACTTACACAGGGTGACTTTGAGCCAATCACCAGTAGATGGGGAATTCTAGTCCTGCATTAGGCATGAAAGGCAGCAAGATAACTTTGGGCCAATCCCCAGGAGACGGGGAGTTCTAGTCCCGTTTTAGGCAGGAAAGGCAGCCAGGTGACTTTAGGCCAATCACCAGGACACGGGGAGTTCTAGTCCCAACTTAGGCAAGGTAGGCAGCTGGGTGACTTAAGCCAATCCACAGGAGACGGGGAGTTCTAGTCCTGCCATAGGCATGAAAGGCAGCCGGGTGACTTTGGGCGAATCACTGGGAGACGGGGAGGTTAAATCCCACCTTAGGCATGAAAGGCCGATGGGTGACTTTGGGCCAATTACCCGGAGATGGGGAGTTCTAGTCCCGCATTAGGCATGAAAGGCAGTCTGGTAACTTTGGGCTAATCACCAGGAAACAGGGAGTTCTAGTCCCGCCTTACGCATCATAGGCAGCCGGGTGACTTTGAACCAATCATCAGGAGATGGGGAGATCTACTCCCGCCTTAGGCATGGAAGGCAGCCGGGTAACTTTGGGCTAATTACCAGGAGAGGGGGAGTTCTACTCGCACCTTAGGCATGGAAGGCATCCAGGTGACTTTGGGCCAATCACCAGGATACGGGGAGTTCTAGTCCCGCCTTTGGCATGAAAGTCAGCCGGGTGAATTTCAGCCAATCACCAGGAGAAGGGTCGTTCTAGTCCTACCTTAGATATGGAAGCCAGCCAGGTAACTTTGGGCTAATCACCAGGAGATGGGGAGTTCTAGTCCTGCCTTAGGATTGAAAGGCAGCCGGGTGACTTTTGGTGAATCACCAGGAGACGGGTTGTTCTAGTCCCACCTTAGGCATGAAAGGCAGGCGGGTGACTTTGAGCCAATTACTCGGAGATGGGGAGTTCTAGTCCCACCTTACACATGAAAAGCAGCTGGGTGACTTTGGGCCAATCACCAGGAGATGAGGACTTCTAGTCCTGTGTTAGGCCTGGTAGGTAGCTGGGTGACCTTGGGTCAATCACCAGGAGACGAGGACTTTTAGTCCTGCATTAGGCCTGGTAGGCAGCCGGGTGACCTTGGGCCAATCTCCAGGAGATGAGTCCTGCCTTACACATGAAAGGCAGCCAGGTGACTTTGGGCCAATCACCAGGAGATGGGTAGTTCTAGTCCCACCTTAGGCAAGGAAGGCACCTGTGTGACTTTGGGCCAATCACCAGGAGAAGGGGAGTACTAGTCCTACCTTCAGCATGAAACCCGAATGAGTGACTTTGAGCCAATCAGTAGGAGATTGGGAGTTCTAGTACCGCATTAGGCATGGAAGGCAGCCAGGTGACTTTGGGCAATCTCCAGGAGATGGGGAGTTCTAGTCCCGCCTTAGGCATAAAAGGTAGCTGGGTAACTTTCAGCCAATTACCCAGAGTTCCAGTCCCGCCTTAGGCATGGAAGGCAGCCGGGTGACTTTCAGCCAATCATCAAGAGACAGGGAGTTCCATCCCGCC